TGAACAATATTGGGAGCTCAAGAGACAAGAGTACGCTCGCGGCGGCCGAAGGCTTTCCTCTGTTTCGCAGCTGGAGGAGATGTCCGACTGGATCCTTGGTGACCCTACCGCGACGAACATGGCCGAGTGCACGGAGTACGTTGTGGGCGCAACGGAAAACGGCTCGGCTGGTTTGCTCGAGCACGACTCGGAACACACGTCGTTCCAAATCTTGACCCCGAAGGGCAAGATCCGCCTCAGCCATGGTCGTCTGCACCAGCTTGCCACGCGTGACCCGACGGACAGCTTCGATATCCCGGATCACCTCACCTGGCAGATGAACCTCTCCGTCGACCACATTGACCTGCGTGCCGACGCCACGGGTATCCTCGGCGAGACGCAGAACCCCACTCTTGACGCCAACGGCCACCCCATCATGCAGGGAATGGCTGCTATCCGTGGGGCGCAGAACGACTGTGAGTAAACGCTCCCGGCGAAGTTTTCGCAGTGGCGTTTCGGCACCCTATGACAATACCAGCACGATAGTACTGCCTGCGACTTTTTGCTTTGATTTGAATCCAAAACGTAAGGGGTCGTACATGTCAATGACGAAAACCCGGTAGGGGCCAAACGTCCTGAGGCAACTTGTATATATTTCGCTCATCAAAACCTCGATATTTTGGCGTAAATGTTGCGAAAATGCTGAACAAGACTAATACCATCAGGCGGACAACAGGAGGTTTCCCTGTTGTTTGGCAATAAAACAACCTTACGAAAATTTTTGACATATTTCCCGGATGCCAACACACCGTCGACCAACCTCCACGCAGATCTGGTCAAGGGCCCCCTGGATACCGTGTTCGCCGCAGCCCACAACCACGCCTAGGGCACCCGCCGGCGTATCCCGCCGGCCTATCTCGAGCGGACTGAGTCACATCGAACGTCCGTAGTTCGCGACGATTCGTCGACGCTTTTACAACCCTCTTGGGTTATCTCGGCTTGTAGTTGGTGGTGGTAAGCCAGTCGTAAAGTTGATTGGCGCGCGTTATTTATTGATCGATTCGTTTCGTGAAGAAAGCGATGGTTTCTCAATACATGCGGAGTTGGATGGCCCTAACCCCTCCTTCGCTAAGGCATTGCATGGCGCTTGTAGGGTACTTTGTAGTTGCACTTGGGCGTTGTTCAAAGAGATTTAAGGGTTGAGCTTTTGACACTCCGGAGGCGGGAAAAAACAGTGTATGCGGTCAAGCCGCTGTAGGCACTCCGGAGGCGGGGAAATAGGTGTGTTTGTTTGTAAGATCGGGTCGGAGGCCATTTCAATGTGAAAGGAGCTGTTGTCATGATGGCCATTTGCTAGTCGTTCGACACGAGCCGTCGCCCGATACGCGCATGGTGCGCTCGAAGACAAACAAGTATCCCTCGTTTTGTTAGAATGCCTTCGGCCTATAGTATACCACTGGACGAAAACGGTATATGTTGATTTAGCGCCCACGAAAAAAGGGCGATTAGGTATCGGTGAGTGGCTGTTTTAAACCAAGGTTGGACCTGTCGGGGATCGAATCGAAAGGTGCTCGATGGAATTGCCAATGACGTTTTTACGCTGGATATTAACGATGGTTTTGTTGGAGGCACTGCAAACAAGATTGCTAGACTATTCCGCGGTGCGAGTTGCCAACGGCATAGCGTTAGCGTGACACTCGGGCGACACATTTTCGTTTTGCGTGTGCTCGACGCTGGCGCCTGATTCTATAATTAATAATCTATTTTTACCTGGGGGTATAAAATGTGCCTCCTGTGCATTTGGCGCGGGTTCGGCGCGACTTGGGCGGCGGACGCCTGGAGACGGAGACAGACCCCACAGGGTCCCCCGGACAGAAAATGTTTGGCCCTTGAGAAGTTGTCGATGGCCAACCCAAACGTGGTCGAGGTCTTTGTTAGGAGTAGGAATCATGCTACATTTCGGATGGCATGGTCAGCAACTACTCGCGCAGGAACGTACTACGTAGTACGTCGTGAGTATCCCTGCCCACCGTTGTTGTACGAAAAGAAAGAGAGATTATAGGGACGTTTGAGGCATGGCATCACCAAGAGCAGACATGAGCCAGTTGGGGCATAGGAAGTGGGCTGAAAAGGGAGTTATATCGGTAGGGAGGAGCGATTGACCATCGGTGATGGGTCCTGTGGGAACGTCCTCCCGAGGACCCCTGGTCAATGGTGTAGCCGTTATGGTATGCAAGATATCAGTACGCCCCCCCCCCGCTCGATCCCTCACGAGCCGAAACTTTGAGACAGACCAAAGCTGCGCTGTCGTACCTGCTCGGCCACCACGACATGCTGAACAACGCAACATGTTCAACGATACAGCAACCTGCATTCGTTCGAAAAAGTACATTCATCCAGGGTGGCGGTACCAATCATTGGATAAGTTTCCCCCATTGTATGCATGTGTTCAGTGCACGATTTGTCAACCGATGCTTGCCCCAATTTCGGCACCAAACAATTGTACGCACGGGTCAGAGGACATTCAGCCTTCCGTAGTGTTTGTCGTCGATACACCTGACATGTGAACGAATGCTGCTGCTCTTCTTGTAGAAGTCAACATACTGATTCCCGCACCGAACCTATGCTCAATGTTGTTACCATCTCCGGCTATAGCACACAAGGAATAACGCTAATACGGCCGTGACCCCGGCAACACCGACTCCAGCAAGGACAGCTGGTGTTCCAAGCGAAAGACAGGCGCCTGCGGAAGATTCAATTGTCGCTTCCCAAGGTCCAAGCACCGCACCTGGAGCAGCAGGGAATGGAGGAGCCGCAGGCGATAGGGGAGGTGTGGAGCCCCCCGCGGTCCCAAATGATGGCGCGGCAAGGTGACAAAGTGAACAACTCAGAAGACCTGGCCAGTGTACATAGATTGCACTGTGAGCAGCGCACTCAATTTCTATGAAGCGCAGTTTATAGAGCCTTAGTCCTGAGACACGGTTAAGAGGGTGAAGAACCCCTTTTCGTACTCGAGACTCGTTTATTTTCCTTTGCGGGGTAACCCAACAAATTACTGCTTGATGGTAGGTTTTAGCTCTTGCATGAGCGCCGTTCTTTTGCCTTTAGTTTTCCGAGGTACTTACAGCAGTACTGGACCAAAATCTTCTCGCGGAGAAGACAAGGATAGCTCTGAAATTGCATCAATCTTCAGTTCCGCCCTACAACGGCGATCGATGGCAACAAAGGTCAACTAGAGGCCGTAATAGCACTGCCTGTGAGGCGCCGCTTGCTTTCAACTCTCCAGCTTCATTTGGCGCCCAGATTTTCGTATGCCCTCCGGCTTTGCTCTGCACTGTCCGCTCTCTGCTTCCGCTGTGTTTGGAAGTTATAAACTCAACCTCAAGATCATGGAAAGGGTTGCTTCCATTCTGGACGGCGGGAATGATATTTTATTCGTCCCAGCACCGACACCGGCTACCTTACCACCTGAACCGCAGCCAGTTGCAGACGGAAGTCCATCTCCATTCAGCGAAAATATTTCAGACGAGAGTGCGGGAAGGGGGCGTCCTGTGTTGATGGGCCATGCCGGCTGGAAGGCTTGTCCGGCTAGATTGTTTGAGATATTATTGTGACGATAGACGTTTCTGGCAGTTGGCGTCGTTTCCTTTTCACAACTGGGTGTCGCAGAGGAAATTGTTCTTTGATTTATTGTTTTCGTTTCCCCGAGGAAAAATTTAGCTTCGATTGGCGAAAACGTTCAAGCGTCGACAACGGAATATTTGGTCCAGGGTTGTGGTCGTTTTCTTCGTGAAAAGCTTCGAAGAGCTCTGCTGCTTGCTTGTTGGAAAGTTATGCCTGCGCGCTTTCTTGTTTGCTATTTACATAGTCCTTTGACGTTTTCATAACCGAAAGCTTGGGTAGACAAGTTGTAGAATGGGTCATCATCGGTCATATAAATATAATGTTGTCTGTTGTGGTTCCTCGGAGGTTGAGACATGACGGGTTCGCTCAAGCGATAGCAAAAAATATTTTCAAAGGAGATGTCCAAAGTTTCGACTTGACACACGACCGTAAGGAATGAGAGGTGCACTTGCCATCCAAAGAGCTGAAGGCTTGATGAATATGGACCCGGCACCTCGTCGAGATGCCACCAACATCTCAAGTGCCTGCAGTAGAAGTAGTTGGAAGCACAACGGTGATCAGAGTCAAGGTATTGAGAAGATCACCCAGCACAGAGCCATGGTCGTGCTGTCCAGCATGAAGTTAGCAGATGTGATTGCTGCCCTCGAATCGCCGGTTCGAAACCAATGTAGTTATCTACATCCATCTCTACCCGCCTTCCGTCTCAATGTGAGATGACCGGTGTACGAAACTCGCTCATATCGTTCCTCCGAGACACCTCTTTGAGAAGGCCGAGAGGTATAAAGCTTGCCGTTGACAACCATCAGGACTGGCCTGAATGATGCAAGCGATGCAGGCGCGTCCGATTGTCGGTTCGGTGCTTCATTCCACCAGGGCCACATACATGACAGAGGTTACGGATTGCTAGCCTGACGCTCCGCGAGATCACTGCATCGGCTTTGCCGTTGTTTCCGAGTTGGAGATGAGTGTTGTGCCCGCGGTATTTGTTGACCCTGTACGTTGATTGCCGATTGTGACACCGATCGAGTTATTAAATACTTGTGTTTTTCAGTTTTGTGCAGCCGGGAGGCAAGCCATGCGCGTACGGAGGGAAGCGTCACTCACACAGGAGACTTTCCTTGATCATGTCTCCTTTCAAACACATCTTGGATGCTATTGTCCGCATCTCCCAAAGGTGACATAAGAATATCCCAAGCACATCTGGTGGTGTGCACGGCAATGCTACCCGCCTAGGCTGATCTTCCGTACCCGCGTGGCCAAACACACCTCAGGCTTGTATGCATAGTCATCTCCAACGCAACTCGGGCATCGGAGGGATGAACCATTGCGGTAGCAGCTCCCGACAGCATTCAAAGTCGAAAAACGACGAATAACCTTCAGAATCAAAACTTCACGTTCTACCCCCCGCCGCCGTCTCCGGATTCCTCGAGGATTTTTCTGACGGCCTCCACGGCTTCCAGAAGATCCTCTCCCAGTCCGTCTTCTTCGTTTGCCGACGTCACCGGATCATCACTGTGGACCAACTTCTGAACGCTCTCCACAAACTCGCGCCTATTCTTCCCCACCCTGAAGTTGGGGAACGGAAACGGGTTCTACACGTAAGTGGCCACCTCGCATGAAAGCTTCACACAGGACGTGTATGATATGTCAGTGAGTCGTCTTCGTCTCGTTTTCTTGCCTTCCTGTCTCTCTGCCCATGGTTTCAGGCAACGAGGGCTGCAGAAGTTGTTCGAGAAACTCTGCCGATACGTTGTTGTCTGGAAAAAGCTTAAGCTTGACATGAATTCCCCACCTCTCCACAGCGGCAGCTGGGTCCCTCTCGCCGTCTTCCGCCCACTCCCCTGCCCCCCCCGCAGCCAACGCAGCCAACCCCCTGTCCAACTCCACAGCGCAGGACTCAGACGCACTCCTGGCCCCTTCCGTAGATTTGACGCCTCCGACAGCACCAGCGTCTTCTTCGATAGCATTCTCAAGAATGTTACCGAGCACCAGCAACGCCGCCTTCTGGCTGCGGCGTGAATGTTCCCAAGGGGTGAGCGCGGATACTAGCCCCCTAATCACCCGTCCTCTCATCTCGCCTCGACCAAGAGATGGCCTTGTCTTCGACGTCTCGGGTTGGACTTCACACACCGCTTCGCAATTCTCGCCTCCGTTTGTCGGTCCTTCCGCCGTACCCTCCTCCGCCAGCTTTCGTCTTTTTCGGGGCTGTTCATCATGCTGCTGCTGCTGTGATAGTTCTCCTGACGCTTGCCTTAAGGCAGGCGGTTCGACGACCACCGGTGGCTCGGCTGCTGCAGGAGATGGGGGAGGTCCGACACCCGAGACTTTGCTTGTAGTAAGAACTTCAAGACACCGCAGGAGAGCGTCAAACCCGGTCTCCGTGCCCCCCAGCTGATTCCAGGAACAGCGCATTTTGGGTGAAATGGTTCATAGGGAGGGTGGGAGTGGGTTCCATGAGGAATGGCTCAGGAGGCGGGTTGTGGTAAAACATTACTCTGCACTGATTCTTGCCCCGAGGCGGGTCTTCCGTGCTGCGTGGGCTGGGGTTTGACTGAGGCCAGGGCTGCTTCGGTGGGTAGGCGTATCACTATCGATTCTATTAGGGACATGAGTCTCGATCCGTGTCAGGGGAACAGGCTGCTAGTGCTAGCGAGCTTCGATGATTTGGCCATTGATTGCCACGCAAGTTGGTTAGTGAAAGATTAGTTGCCGCCAACTTGCAAAAATGACGACACCAACCACAGCAGCCAAACACAACGTCAGCCCGGGCAACAATGACAACATCAACAACAACGGCAAGCGGAGAGGAAATCAAACACGAGAGAACTCAACTCACCTTCTCGTATGCAAGGTCGCCGCTGCGGGATTGGAGGAGAGAACACAGAGATTTCTCCAGCCCGAATACCTCGATAAGAGGACGTATGACCGCATCGCCGTGCCGGTACATCAGCGAATAAGTCAATGAGCACGCCTTTGGAGGGGGTGACGTCAAATACGGCAGGCATGAAGGGGCGCGAAAACAAAGCAAATTTCACTTCCATTGCCCAAGCTACGTATGTTGAGCGTTCAGGGGCATAACGAGCAAGCAGCAGAGGGCGTCAGATCTACAGCTTAGCATCGAGACTCGAACGAACCACGCTAGCAAGACGCCCCGCCCAGTGTCTCACCCACGCCAGGAGCCTCTCCTCCAAAGAGTTCCCCAAGAAGAACGCTAGCCGCTCGAGGGTCTCCCCCGCTGCTATCCCGGAGGCAAGCCCTGCTGACCCCCGCGCCGCTATCGCCAACGCTGCGCCTTCCGTGTTCGGCGCTGATGCCGACACTGCTGTGGCTTCGGCTTCGTTTCTCTCCCTCGCAGCCGAAGTAACCGCGGTCCGATTATCGCCGACGGCAGGCTCGGAGGAAAGCTCCACTGGCCCCGATGCAGCCTCAGCTGCTCCTGCTGCCCCGGCTACCATCCGCAAAGCCCCCGCCCCCGTGTGACCCTCACCGTGAATCTCGCCGCTACGATTTGGCTCCGGCGAGACCGTTGTTGCAGCTCTGCCATCGCCGACGGGATCGTTGGTGCTCCCCGCTGCATGGGCGTCATAGGCGCTCTCCGTAGATTTCATGAGCGCGGCGGTAGAAAATAGCCGAAGAAGTTCCGTGAGACAAGCGGGGTCGTCCGTGGAGTGGAAGGCCCCGAGGAGCTCCTGTCCGAGGGCGAGGTCCCCGGCGATCTGCTGACTGGAGGCGCAATATGTTCAAGGAGTTTTGTTCGTGGCGTTGAAGCTGTAGCTGTAGCCGTGGCTGTAGCTGTAGCCGTGGCTGTAGCTGCTTTCGATGCTGCTGCTGTTGTTGGTGGTGGTGGGTAGTGGTGATTGTGTTCATGTTATTCCCTGCGTGCTCGTGGCTGCCGAAAACTTAAACGGCTCATGAAGACAAAAACGAGATTGGCGCCCCTGCTTACGCCGCAGCTTGCTCTTTTTTTCCGCGCCGTAGTTGAATCTAGAAGTATGGCGATACCCGGCTTGTATGATACTCGTTTCCCGGTAGCGAGAGACCCCGACGGGGTGCAGCTTGCGCGAACGGCCCGGGGGGACACGTACAACATGTGCTTACTCGTGCTCAGGCGCGGAGAAAAGACGTCGCGAAACCTTGCGGGCACACCTTGGAGTCACGAGGTTCCGAGGAAAATGACAGCACTACCGGGCGGCATTTTTACTCTTCCAGAGTGAGTAAAACCGGCAGCAAAGCAAAGAAAAGCAGGGACGCAGCGCATGTCCGTCGGCTATGGGTCTTCCAAAGAAATACGGCAGAGCTTCCCGAACAAGGATTTTTGTCCGGGCCGTGGTAGGAAAAGAGCGGGGCGGGCAAGAAAGCCCAACAGCGGCGAGAGTGACTGAACGCATTGGTGCTGTGTCGCTGATCAGACAGGCGTCGTTGCCTTCGAGGCCGTAAACAAGTATTGCAGCGCGCACCCGCGGATGTTCGTTTCCTTTTTCGCGAAAACGGAAACGGCTTTCTGAACTTGCGCAAATGTGTCATCTTCCTGTGGTTCCCTGATCGTCGCTATCAACAACACAACCACACCGCACCCGCACGCATAAAAAAAGGGCTGTCAACTCTGCACCAGGTTTGACTGAACCAGTTGGCATGCTCGCTAGCAGAAAGGCACCTAAGCGGCGGTGTTGAATAAACCGCGCGCTACAAAACGCCGAGAGATTGGATCTCACCGAAGGCCCCGGTGGGAGAAAACGTTCGCCAATAGCCCACACGTGACCTCGCGCAGCCTTTCCACCTGTTCCCTCGGCGGCAAGGGGGGTGCCACCGCCATAGCTGCTTCTTTCGCCTCGGCAGGCATCAGACTCTTCGACGAGGACAGGCCCCCGGCTCGCGCTTCCGCGGCAGCGCTGACTATCGCGTTCGCACACTGGCGGAGAACAGCGCACGAAACAGCGACCAAGCCCGCGGAGCACATGGCAGAGGCGTTTCTCTCCTCCGCGGACATGTCCCACAGCGCGCAGCCCGCCTGCTCGCGCGCGTCAGGTACTGACGCCATGTCGGTCTCCGATTCGGCCGTGCGCTGTAGTTTTGGCGGCTGGCCTAATAACTTGGGGCTGTTTCGGCCAAGACAATCGCCTCCCGACAAGCATGGGTCTGGCTTTCCTGTGAGAGGGCTTTGGCCAAGCGGCGGTGCTTTTGGTGAAGTTGCAGGCAATGGTGGCGCACTTGTGCTGTCGGGGAGGGAGGGCGGCGCCGAAGGGGGCGTGTTGTCGTCGTCTTGGTCTCCGACCGCAGCGCCAAGGAAGATCCTGAGCAGTCGGATTATGGAGGCGTTTTCGTCCTGGGGGAAGCGCGGAAGAGGGTGGGTAGTGGTGGAAGGACCCGTAACGTGACAACGGGTGCGAGAGTGTAGCAATCGTTGTCCTCCCATGCACTCGCGTACACCGGCTTTTTTTACGAGCGGCCAATTCAAATATTCCAGCAGCTTTCCCAGAGCACGACGCACACAGTCAAGTTCCTCGGGCCCGCGGTCCTCCCAAGTACTCTCCTCCAACACACGCAAACCCCAGGAGTGGAGACTCGGGCGAACGAATGCGTTCCAAACGGTGGTTGTGACGCTGGGCGCGCAGATACCACAGCCAGAGTATAGGCATACTAAAACAGTAGCGAAATCAGCATGTTCCCAACCTCTTCGCAGCCTCACCGATGGGTCTCCTTCGTTGTAAAGGTTGCCTCCGCCGTCTTCATGCATAACATCCATCGTACCTAGGCACTGGGAGGGATCCAAATGGCGGTAGCTGGAGGCAGCCCGCAAGAGAGGCAGTGTAGTGTACTGCACCTACAGCAGCCCCAGCGAGTGTAGCAGTGATGCTGTGATGCTGTGCGGTGGTGCGGCGCAATCGTGCGAATGCGGAACATCCCAAGGGGCACCGTGAATACTGGAGGTCTCTTTTGCTAAATTCTGCGGTGCCCCCAACAACCAGCAATCCATTATCTTATAATATACACGGTAGGGTTGTTGTGTACATCCTGATTCGGCAACTGCTGTTCAGCACTCGTATCCAAATAAACACGTAAACAACCACGCTACATACAGCACGAAAACACCCACGTATCGGCCTAGGGTTCAAAAGGCCCTCCCCTGCTTGAGTACAGTACATCTATAGTTACTGTACAAGTAGTCGAACCGCCTTTCTTTTCAGATGCACACAGCAGTGTGGTTGGAAGTTCGGAATTTCTCCAATGTGTTTGGAAAGGCTGAGGTCGTTATAGGACAGAGATTGCGACGTCCTTCATTAAACACAGCAGTAAGCGTATCGCTCGGACATGCGCGTCTACCGTAGACGCGACATGCCTTGTTGCAAGTTGATGACCGAACAGCGTCACGAAAAAGGCACTTCGACAACGACGTTTGGTCGAACACTACGACGATTTTCTCACAGCTGGTGACCCCCATCGCGTCAATTAGATAGAGAGGAAACAGCTGCTTACCATGACGTACCCACATCGTTCTCTAGAGCGGGGCCTTCGTCACACAGTATTAATAACGAGCATGTGACACCCCTTGTGCGCGAGCGAGCACTGATTCAATTTCACCCTACAAGACAGGTTGCCTCTTCACGCGGCCTTGCTTGGTGATTAGACAAATTCACCCTGTTTGTTCCTTCCTCGGTTCAATCGTTGGTGTCTAGTCTTTCGTCGACGAGAAACGTGCCACAACTTGATTGACGTCATTTCGTCCATCAATTCCTGGACGACGTCGCCTTAGCAGTCACTATTTGTGTTGCTGCCGCAGAACACGGTTCCGTTCGCTGAGAGCGTCAAAAAGCGAAACTTCTTTGGATTGGTTGGTTTCTGGATTCCGATCGTATTATCCCGGCCACACCTTGCCAAAACAAAGCAAGGATGGAACGAAGCGGACGTTTTTCCGACAAAGGGAATCAATCCTATCCCGCAAACCGAGACCCGTCTTGGGAGAGCGACAACTCAACCATCAAAGCGCCGGCAACACTCCCTCAGCTCTTGATCGCCAACGAAACAACGATCGACATCGTGCCTGCTGTCTCGGTGGCCTTGCCCAGCATCGACAAACCGCGAGCCTCCACAAAAAGTGAGAACCCAGAAAAAATGGCGAACACCACCGTTGCGACGCCACCCACCCTATCACCCATCTACGGCAACAGTGTGGAGCAGTATTAGCTTGCTCCTCTGAAGCGATGTGGGACCTAGCCCCCCGCCCCCCCCCAGGACGCATGGTCGTCACCGAGAAAACAAACAACAACAAAAAATATCACACTAGATTTCCATGGGCTGCGGCGCGTCTTCCACGGTAACCAGAGACGACAGCGGCTGGAACTTGGACGCTAGGATCTCGGTTGCCCCCTTCGGTACCTGGAAAAAAATGACAAGGTAGGGGTCGGGGAAGTGGGTCAGGCCGGTGAGGGCATCACGCGCTTGACAATCTCAGGACATGCTGCGAGAGTTGGATGCGTGCACCAGCATACAGCCCGGGGTGTCGACTTTCAATTCCAAAGCGGCAGCTGCTGTACGTTTTATATAAAAGGGAAGGTTTTCAGTTGCACAGCAAGGAATCCGATAGTCAGGGTCAGAGAGGAGATAAAACCAGGTTCGTATGGGTGTACCATGCCGGCAGCAACGAGTGGCACGTGTGTCTTTCGGGCTGGCGGGAAAACTCACGGGCCTAATGTGCCCCCGCCACAAATAACCGCAACTCCCGTGTTGAGCTCCTGCGTGGGAATTACAATAACGCGGAACTTCCAGGCTGAAAACAGGGTGAAACTTGCCCTCGTGACAAAAAAAAACAAACAAGAATCTGGAAGCGCCACAGAGGCAGCAAGGTCAGACGGAGTTGAAACACAACGCCAACAAGATGTTGTAACCACCTTCTTTTCTCACCTTGATCGCCGCCGGGCGCTCCACCGTCTTCCTGAGCTCCGACACCTCGTTCGGCTTTTCCAACCCCCGGAAGCTGCGGTGGACAAGGAGACAAGGGGGTGGTACAGGGTGGCTTCAATGGGGGTGATTCTGTATGTTTTCGCAAAATTAAAAGAGAGTCAACACTGCGCTACAAAGACGAAGACAATGCCCAACCGAGTGGTCACGGTCGCGGCGGAACCAGTTTTGAGTTTTATGGCAGAAAAGCGATATAATTTTGTCGTGTAGCAGAAAGAAAACAAAAAAAACGCAAAGAAACAAACACTCCAGAGTGCACAAACGGCAAGAACAAAGCACCGGGTCATCTCACATGGCGGTCTCCCCCCCGGGCCTAATGACCGTTACGTCCACGTTGCTACCCGAGCCAAGATCGTTGAACACGCCCGCCATGATGGCCTGCTTCACGAGCTCCACCGCCTCTGCCTCCTCCATGTCCTCCTTAAACCCTGTTTCGAACACCTGAGGCGTTCGTTTTTGCAAGCGCGATGCACGAGAGGATGGTCGGTCGAGGGAGAGGACACCACCAGAAATTGGATGTTCTCCAGCGGTAGTCACTACTTGTACGAATACTTCATGATAATATGCATAGCTTTATGTTTATCTGAGGTGACAACTTCATGTTTATCCGAGTTGCGATGATGTTGTCAATTCCACCGCACCAACATCGGCCGAGTTAAAGCCTAACTTCAAAACGAAAAAGGGATACGCAACACACCAAAAATAGAGCACAAAAAATGCCTTCGTAGACGACTATCGAGGCAAACAAAGCAAGCCCATCGGTTATTGTCCATCCACTTGTTAGAGCAAAATAAACGTGCGATGTTGATAGCAGAAGTAGCAATCTTGAACCTTCTCAGTCAACGGATCGTCTTTTGCTCATGAAAAACAGAAAACACATATATCCAGAAATGTACTGCTGTTCTAACAACAACTTTCTTTCTCTCGCTCGTCATCAAATGCCTTGCAACATTGTCGACTTATTCGACGGTGCCACGAGCGCTTCGCAAAATAGCACGCACGCAAATCCGAAGCTAACGTCGACTGTTCTTGATCACGAGAGTACTGCTATCTTAGAAACACTTGCGAACGTTGAGGCGAACGATACCCCCGCCACTCCCACCCACCCACCGAAAGGTGCTTACCGACATGGCTGCGAGCGATCCCGACCCCATGGTGAGATATGGCAGCTTGTCCGAGCTACCGTGGGGGTAGATGTTGTACAAGTGCGGCCCCGTCACGTCAACGCCGCCCAGGACTAGCGCTGCCGACACGTACCCCTACACAGCGCAAGGTAAACAGAGAGCAGGCGGGGACAATGCGTGTGTGGGTGTACGGATAACATGGAGCAACAGGGGAGGAGAGAGGTCGCGCAAGGGAATGTATAGACTCTTTTGGTCTTGAAGCGGGGGAGGAAGTGGTTCACTGTGTCGTAGAGATCAGTAATGTCATGTAAGGTGGCGGTCCAACATTCATGTTTCCGTCGTCACCAGGCCGTGCTTGCAGATTTCAACAAGTTTGCACAGGACTCCGCAAATGTCATGGCAAAGAACGAAATACAGAAGAAAGACAAGGCAAGGCAACGATGTTACAAGGGAAGGGGGGAAAAAATCCAATAATGAGAACCCGCTTCGACGAATCAACATCCACCGCTTTTACCTGGTAGCGGAAGAGCATGCGCTTGAGCATGGTGCACGCGGTCACGACTCGAGACTGGGTCCCCGTGGACAGACGCAGCAAGTCCAGCTGTCCCAAGGGCGAATACAGAATTGCACAAGCGTACGCGAGAGGGTCAGTGGGACCACCAACGCGGGGTCCAGGAAACGAGACTTTACGGTGATTTGGAAGTGATGATGTATAGCCGTCAGAGCATGTCCCGCGCTACCTACTACTGCTATCGTCATCTGCCCACGGCGCACAGCCTGGGCATCAGCCGTCAGCAGTACCAGGAATCATTTTCTGTGCGCTGTGATGCTTGAATATTGGTGTACTCTTGAACAACTGCAGTTATCTGCGCACGGCGCGAAACCTGAGCATTAAGCGGCCAGCAAGTACGTTATTTTCTATGTGCTGTGATAATATTATTGGTGTATTCTTACATAGACAAGGTGTTCACGATTGCACCAGGGTTCCGCGGGCAGTTTTTGCCTGGCCGCTAACATTTCCGTGATGAGGTCGGATCAGTGCACCCGTTGACAGCGCCGAACCCCACGCATAAATAGTACACTGTGCAGGCGTGCTGTCGGTGACACAAGATACCACACCCTGAACCGATTTTCAAAGCTCGATTACTCCACGACGAAGAGGATGCATGATTGAAACGATAAGTTTTCGGAAACCTACCGAAAAGGCGGGTTCGATGCCGCTGTTTTCGGCGCTGTTACTATATCTGCTGTGGAGAAATCGACTTCGAAAATCGGTCCAGGGGGCGTGATATCTTGTGTCACCTACATGTACGGCGGTATGCCTGTCCTCCCTCTGCGGAAATCACTGGCATTTTGCATTTTGCGGTCGACCAAACATACCTACCTGGGTAACAACAAGCCACGGTGAGATATTACTGCACCATCATGCCAGCTCATGGAAACGCTCAGCAGAAACAGCCATAACGCCTTGCACACGCACAACTCACGATGCACCCCACAGACACACAGCCGCATCGATCGATTTACACGTACCTGGCCCGAAATCATCTCGGTAGTCTTCTCCGTGTCGGCGGCGGTGCCGGCGCCGCAGCAGTAGATGTTCGGCGCCAGGTAGTGGATTTTCTCGCAGTTCTTGTCCACGACCTCCGTCCCGCCGGTCGCGCGCGTGTCCGCGCCCAGGACAACGCCTCCCTTGTAGATGCACCCGCAGATCGTCGTTCCCGTGAGCTTTGCGCGGGGCAAGGTCCCCTCCTTGCCCGACTTGGCGAGCTCTGCCGCGATGCGGGCGTTGCGGTGGTGATTTTCGAAGTCGAACCCGCCTCCTCCGGCGTTTGTTGTCGAGGCGGACAGGACCTCCTCTCGAAGGTCGGCGGGGACGCTCTGCCCTGCTCCCGCCACGTTGCTGAGCTCCGACATTTTTATCTACCTGCTGTGGAGGTAGGGTGCGGTTGTTGTGAACGTCCAGGTGCTGAGCTCGATAGCCCTCTCTGCTGTTCTTCGCGGGCTGTGTGGAGCACTGTCCTCGGGTTGCAACTCTACAAAGCTTTCGCCGTTCCTTTTCAACACAAGCGTTGATATCAACCCTTCAGGTTTCTCTGTGTTTCCGTTGCAGGTGCTGCGCTGTCGTCGGAAAGCAGGCTACCAGGGTTTGCCTCGCTCGCTCGTGTTCTCGCGAGATCCCACCGCGGGGCTCCGCGGAATGTTTTTGGTTTTGCTAGGCACCCACTGCAAATCCCCCCATGGGGTTGATCGGTCCACGGATCGATCCACCACCGCCGCTACACACGTGCAGAAGGATGGGCGTTGCAGCAATTCTCGTGGCGCTGGCTAGCATTGGCCATGCTTCCGCTTTTGTTGTGCCTGGGCACCAACATTTGGCGGCAGCTTCCTTCAGCAGGTGATGAACCGACACGTTCAAATTGATCACAGACGTTGGTATGCGCTCATGATACCCCAGAGGTATGTCCGGCTCTCGAGCCGCTGCATGCTGTAGGTAGTCCTGTTGCCAACCCGACCCTGTTCAATTTCCTTGCCTCCGGGTCAAGGTTGTATATTCTGCAGATGTACCGATGAGCGGAAACGGTAGCTCGTAGATTGTTATGGCAAAATGCCGGTCCTCAGGTCTGTTTACGCTGCAAGTTTGAGTTTACCTCACAGTAGTCTCGCCGGTTACTTGTTCTTTACTGAACCACGACACCTATCCGCGATTGCACAAGATGTCCATCTGTGACTGGTTTCTCCTTGCACTGGTGGGCCATCGAGCTGCATTGCTGCTGGAGCTTGTTGATTGAGAGTTTGTGCTCAGTGATGCCGTGTTTGCAGCCAATGCACCCTTGCCTAACATTGACAGAGGCGCATGGGCGCCCCCCGTCGGCGTTGCATCACGGGAGGTATCTTGGTTTCAGCGTTGAGCTTTGATGTACTCACCTACAGCAGTAGTCGACGCATCATCGGTGATGCTTGATCACGCTGAGATCTGTGAGAATGCGTTCGAAAACCAACAGTGCGCTCATATCGCGTATCGCTCTCTCTCTCTCGCGCGCGCGCGGAAGCTCAAATGAGCTGTTGTCGGCCGTCGTGCACCCAAGATATTGACAGGTCTTCGAGGCCGACTCTCACCCTCGAACGAGCTGTATAACCTTTATCGTCGCGGCGAGGAAAGTGGCGGTTTCAAAAAAGAAAGATGTGGTTAGCTTCCTTTCTCTGGCGGCAGAGGCCGGTGCGGTTATCTAAAGTCCGGAAACCTTAGGATTAGCCCTCAAACCCGGTTTCCGGCGTTTGCCGGTCTGTGTCGAGACAAACAGCGATTTCCCCCAAGAACTGGCCGAAACCGTACCCCGTTGCCCATACACACCCGCAGGAAAGAACTGACCACGTTCGGGCCCATAAGCTTTTGCATGGGCGGTTGAGAACTACCCCCCTGATGGTGTTGACACGAGGTCGTCTCTTTTGCATCGAACAATCCGCGGATTTTCGGCAGGGGGAGGCAACACCGCGCACCACTGCTGTCGGCGAGGAGAGGAGCACCCGCGCGAGGGGGAGGGCGAGCCGGCAGGGCTCCTTCCATGAGTGCACCGGACTTGGAGGTGACCGAATCATCGTGAAGCGGTTTGCGGCTGATGGGATGCTCCTTTGGTAGGTTGGTACGTTGGTTACATGCCTCGATACGTAAAGTTATCTTTTTTCCGGAGTGTCTTCCATCGCACGCATCGACTCACCTCTGTGGCGGAAATAACGCGGATCTTGTGCGTGCCCGCACGCCATCGCAAACCAATCTTGTACCACAGGAACCCGCCATGCTGATTGGCCACGGGTTCGATATCCACCGCTTGGTTGAGGGGAAGGAGCTCGTCATCGGAGGGGTCAACATTCCGTACGAGCTCGGCGCCGACGCGCACTCGGACGGGGACGTGATCTACCACAGCGTCGTAGATGCCATCTTGGGTGAGAGGCTGCACGACAGGTCGGGGGTGCGGCATGCAACGCAAGATCACACCCCCCCGGGGGAATTTTTTTGGCTTCCACAACAGCTGTCGTCGGGCGTGGTATGGTGTTGTATTGTGGGTGTGTTGTCGTATTGTGGGTGGTTTGCTAGGTAGTACAGTCGTGCCTCGCGTAAGGACACCAAGATTGAGGAACCTCCCTTGGTTAAGGACAACTTTTTTTCAGCCATGGTGGCTCGCAGAATGTACAACATACGGAGGGGTATTCACCTTAAGGACACTTTCCCGGCTTAAGGACGCTTTTTATAGCAGGAAAACTGGTTGGACCGTAGTATCGTTTGTGGGGTGGCTATCTTTTGCATGTATAGCGAACGGTACGTATGTGTGGAAGGCTCGATGGGTGGAACGGGGCTGCATGTGCCCTGTCGACGACGCGAAGGTCTGACCCCGTGAAAGGTACAGGGGTGAATGTTGAGGAGTTTGGTCTTACAGGTGCCTGCAGAAGTGTTTCCCTTGTGTCACGGAACACAAATGTCGTTGTGTTGCCAGCGATGTACTTGACGAGGCGACATGTTCTTTACTGTATCTCTCTTTGGTACATGCCTAAACCGAACGGTTAATACCCCTTTGGTGTTTTGCCATCGTCCCCGATACAGGCGCTCTTGGGTTACCAGACATCGGTCAACTTTTCCCCGACAACGACCCGGATTGGTCTGGCGCTGACTCGAGTATTTTCATGGAGGAGGCCTACCGAAGGATGGACGAAAGGTACGCTTCATCTATCCTTGTGCACTCCCAAGGACCGATCTGTAGACGGTCTCCTGTTTCCGTTCGCCGAGTCGCGTTTCGTGAGTTCTTGCTTTCGTTGTGCGCGTTGATGCGTGGAGCATGTTGGGCAGCAGGCCGGGGTATGGTGTTGTACTGCAACGGAGGTGTCGTTTCATCCCCCCCCCCAAACCTTGCCAGCAGACACGGGCTTTTGTATATGGTTGTGTGGTGCTCATGTTCCAAGGCCTTGGGTGTTTTGTCGTCGGCGTTCGAATCGTACCCGGGCTCGTCAAGCTCGTTACGCCGTTTGCCTTTGGCGCTTACAAACAATATCCGTATCGGCATGTTTGAATGTGCACGATTCATATCTTCCCAGCTCGAAAGAATATATCCACTCTGTAGTACTTTGTGTCTTTGGATCACCAGCCTCCCCGTCCCTACTCACCCTCCTGCTTTTTTTCGTCGCCTTTGTTGCCATCGCCGTTGAACATAAACATACCTGCTGTTACTGCTGCTGCCGCCGCCGCCGAATCAAAGGGGGTTCCGAGTGGGTAACGTCGACGTTACGCTGATCCTTCAGAAACCGAAGGTACGTGCAAAATGTTTATTTCTGTTCTTTTCTTTCCTTCATCGTACACTCGTCGCCGCCTCTCCTGCTGCTGCTGACCTGTTGCTCACGTGGACCGACCCGTGACCATTCGAAACCCGTCTTTCTTGCGGAAATCCAACCTTTCTGAGGACATGATTTCAAGCTTGACATTGTCTAGACCGTGTGAATTTTCACCTTGATGGGGAAGCCAAGCCAGTGCGACTTGTGCGGCGACAGGGGTAAAAAATCAAACGACTTGTCCGGACGGAACTTTGATGCCGGCGTTTGGTCACGTTTCATGTTACTAATGTCCCGACAGATCAAATCCTACCTGTCTTCGTCGTTTTTCGCGGTTGGCTGTGTTTCGTCCGTAAGCTCAAGCACAAAAAAATCGACCTGTATAGGCGGCTATGTTGTTGAGCGGTGGCATGCTGCCCATTGGATGCGGGGCTGCTGTCGGAGGTCTTGGAATTAGTTCACAATTTTGCCTACCGCGCGCTTCGAGAACCAACCACAACCGACGCCGGGTTTTCGCCATGGGTCATGTGCCGCAAACGAGGAGCGCTATGCCTGCATATGATTCAATCCCAAGTGATGAGCATCAAGCTGATGACCCGAGCCAACGCAACACGCACAGAGCGGCAGCGTTCAACGAATCGCCACCTTGTTAAAGCGTTTTCCCTTTCCGCGTTGCGTGCCAAAAATCAAACGGCCGGGGTCCAGGTGATGGACATCAAGCCGTTGATGCGAGACAACATCGTGCGGCTGCTGCGCACGTCTCTCGGGCGCGTGAACGTCAAGGCGAGGACCCACGAGAAGGTGGACTCCGTGGGGGAAGGGCGAGCGATGGCCTGCCACGTCGTGGTCTTGCTGGAGAAAGTCCCGTGATTCTCGCGCTCGATTGTTGATGGGACTTCCCCGAGATACACTTGTGAGACAGCAGCTAGACAATACGAAGTTCACTTGATTTCATAATGACTCTTTCAGATTGCACACGTGAGATTGTACATCGAGACAGGCTGACTGCGAAATTTCTCGCGCTTGATTAGGACTGTCTGTGTGTTTCGTAGACCAAGGTAGTTCTGATCGTAGTGCCCGGGGAATTCAATCCTTCATCTCCAAAGCTTTTCATCGTCGGACAACGTAGTATTTCGTGGTATTGGGAGGACGGCGGCCGAAAGCTCGCCGTTCTTGGGGGAGGCGATCTTCAGTGTTTTACCATGGCGAAATGTTACACATCGTTCTAGCGATTGGTGGTGAGGCCTTATTTTTGGTTCGACTTACGCGTGGCAGCCAGGGCTGGGCAGAGCAGAGCGATGGGATTCCCCGCTACCCTTTTGCTAGCGGGAAAAACGCAGTGTGCCACTCTGGGTTTCGGCTAAACGAAGAGCGCGAAAGCGGAGAGTCAAGCCTCAACAGACGATGATGCAAGCGCTTTCGGGTTATGCCGTAGAGCATGGCAAGAGCGCCCGGCGAGGCATTGCCGCCGCGGCGGGTCCTGCATAACATCGCTTTGTCGTGCGAGAAAGCCCGGTCAGCTAGGCGGCAGCAGTTGCGCGTATGCGTTGGCTTCATCACATCATCGCTTCCCTACACTTTGAAAGCGTGGCCATATAGGCATGCAGGGCGATTTGAATGTGGCCCCCAAGGCGGACATAGTTACCATGCCCTTGCAAGATTTTCACCACGGATAGAGAAAGAAACAGGTGTCTAAATTTTGCTCTCATCGTGGGAAACTATGAGAGCTGAGATCTCCTTCAGAGAACCGCCACCGCAAACAAGTCTGTCTCGCCATACTCCTTTGATGGCACTCACACCCATGTGTTCAAAACAACCATGCCCCCACCTGCTCATCCACGACGAAATCAAGGTGGGATTTCAAGTGCCACCAAACACGTCCAACTCGGCCAGAATTCCATGCTTGCAGAGATAATCGAACCGCGAAATAACTGCTGGCGCACACGAGGACACCTAGACGCAGTGCAGTCGCCGGTCCCGTTTTGGCTGTTGCGGTCCCACGCCAAGGGCCTCGATCAGGGCGTTGAAGACGTCCACCTTCGGTCGAACTCCCAGCCTCTCCATCTCCCTCACCACCTGCAGGCCGCCCTTCCAGTCGTTCGCCTTGCCGCAGGCGAGGATCGTCAGCTGCGCCACCACCCCGTTCCGGGCCCACCGGTCCTTCCCCGCGCCCCCCCGCAGCCCCTTCAGGTACGCCGCCGCCTCGCCCCACTCCCCGCCCGCCTCGCACGCGGCCACCGCCGCGGTGAGCGTGTAGACGTCCGGCTTCACCTCGGAGCTGACCATCTCCTCCACGAACGAGAGGGCGCGCCGCCAATCGCTGCCGCCCAGCGGCGTCTCGGAGTCGCCGGCGCCGCATGCCAGGATGAGGGTGTTATAGGTCACCAGGCTGGGGTGCACCTGCGCGCGGCGCATGTCCTCGAGGACCTTCAGGGCGCGGTCGCGCTCCCCGGACTTGGCGCAGGCATCGATCACCGAGGTGTAGCTGTAGACGTCGGGGGGTCGGAGACGCTCCTCCCGCGGTGATGTCCTAGCCAAGCCCCGCGCCCGTCTTTCCCTCAGTCCGGGATTGCTGTCGCTGCTGTCCCCTCCCCCCGTGGACGGCGACGACGCCCGCTGCTGCATGTCTTTCAGCAGCCGCCGTGCGTGCTTCCACTGCCCGGCTTTGCCGAGCGCCCCCAGCGTCGCGTTGTACGCGATGAAGGTCGGCGCCATGCCTCCCCGCGCGGTCAGCCGGAGGGCGACCAACGCCTCTTCCCATCTTCCGGCCGCCCCACACGCGGCCGTCACCGAGTTGAAGATCGCGGGGCTGCGCGAGCTCCTCTCCACGCCCAGGGCGTTCATCTCGCGGAAGGTTCGCCAGGCCACGCGCCACTCCCCCGCGTTGGCGGCGGAGACGATAACCCCTCGGTAGCTCCGGGCGTGGAGCTCGTGCCCGGCGCTCGCCATCTCTCGCAGGACGTCCTTGGCCCTTGCCCATTCCTTCGACTGCGCGAACGCGTCGAGCACTCCGTTGTACACCTGGCGCACCGCGAGGGTTCGGGAAACCGACCGTGCAACTTGATTGTCGAAACCTCTTCTGTGTTCGGTCTTCACTATTGATCGACGTGGTCCGAAACGCCACCTGCTGCAAACTCTGCCTGATTGGGGAAATTCCTTTGGTTGCATGCATGTGAGCTGCATATGCTTGCATTGATTGCCATGGCACTGAAATTTCTCTTTCATCTTTCAAATCTTGTGCCACCATACTTGGGGTAGCTGGTCCGTAACCACGGAAGGCGTCCGCGCTGACCATTACGGATGTCAGGCGCCGGCAATGAGAGGAGATCCGAACTGTTGCAAATTTGAAGACAGCATCACCACCAAACAATAAAGGCAAGAGCAGCAGCAGCAACAACAACAGCAACAGTAGCAGCAGCAACACAAATTGCGGCAGCAACAAAAATAGCAGCAGCAGCAACAAAAAGAGCAGCAGAAGCAACCACAACATCAGCAGTGACAGTAACAGCAGCAGCAGCAGCGGTCACCTTCGCGTCCGGGGTGAGGCCGGCCTCTTTCAACTCGGACAGCAGCCGCAGGGCCGAGCCCCACCGTCCTTTGTTGCCGAAATGCTCCAGCTCGAGGCGGTAGCACGTCAGCGTCTGCGGAACGCCGGCCACAGCCATCTCCCTGCGCAAAAGGGGGGCGTGGTGGTATTCCCCGCAACGGCAGCACGCCTGCGCAGAATTGGGCAGGTGTGCGTGTTGGAGTGTTCATAAGGGCAACGGGGGGGTATCCGGAATGACGGGTGAGCAAACAAGGGTTTCGGGGAGGATGGAGGCACAAAACCGCGGCGTAAACGACAACGCCAACAACAGCAAGGGCAACAGAAGCAGCAACATCAACAGCACCGATCAAGAACAACAACACCAACAACAACAACACCGATCAAGGACAACAACAACAACAGCAACAACAACAACAGCAACAACAACAACAACAACATAACAGGTACGCAAGCGACGCTCACCAGGATGGCGTTGGAGTAGCAGTGCGTGTTCGGAGCGACGCCTGCCGCCCTCATCCGGCTCAGGAGCGAGAGCGCATCCGCCCAGCGCTTGGCCTTCGCCATGCCCCCGATGCAGGCGTTGTACCCGTGGACATCGACCCCTCCCTCCTTCCGCTCGGCGATGCTCAGGGCGGACAGAACACCGGAGAGGTTCCTGTTGTTTCAGTAGTCGCAGCCCCCGACAGAAGCACGCACAAGATATAGTGTCTTGAGAAGCACCCGATGTCCTTGGTTGCAAGGGTATCATAAACCGACATTAGACGGGCTACAGAAATCTACGAAGTGCAAGCCGAAGGGGGCTTGCCAGTCTACACGAAAACGCAAGGTTATTAGAGCATATGTCACATGCCGCATTGCTGCTTCGCAGAAAAATGCAGCCTGTTGCGGCCAAGTGAATGCCCACGCTCACCCCACCCACAGGACGACATGCAGCAAGCACACCGCTTCGTTAGAAACGTCCTTGCTAGTGCTTGCCCAGCATTGCATGATGTCCAAACAAAGTGTGTCGAACAGCTTGAACCCTCGAAACACACCTGTCCTGGGTGAGCTGCCGTATGTGAAGCACGAATAGGTAGGAGTCGGACTGCGGAAATATCAGCTTTCCCTTCCCGCCCTTCCCGGTGACAGGCGGAGGGATCGGCAGACCGACCTCCTCCGCTCGCTCTTCCTTGAGCCGTTGCTGGCGCCGAAGATCGCGGATGTGCTTGGCGGGAGGCCTCTCCTGCTCTCCCCGGGGAGGCTTCTGCGGTGCCGTCGGCGGTTGCCGGCCTGATGCCTCTCTGAGATGCATCGCCAGGACGGAGGGTACCGCCGAAGGTGAGTGACTGTACGGCACATCTTGGTACATGATGACATTTGGATCCAGGGTGTACCTGTTCCCCATTCCACGGAAGGGCGGAGCTTGTGTACCGCCTCGGGTGGAGTGCCTACAGTTTCACGACATGACCTTTCCCCAGCATGACATGACACAGCCCCCAAGTATCAGCACACCTTCCACAACACACACAGAGTTTGCATCAAGTGAATCACACACCTAACACGCGCTGCAGCCGCACATGTGTTGGGTACCTGCTAGGTGAAGTGGAGCACCCCGTGCTAGCTAACGGTGTTCTCGGCGGTGATGGGGGCGAGGAAGCGCCCAAAGAAGCCTTTACATGCTCGATATTTCTGCTAGTGTTGGCGTTTCTTGGACCGGAGATAGTGGTATTGCTGCCAGTGCCGCTGCTGCTAACGGTGCTGATGCTCGGGCCGTGTGGGTGAGGAACTCTGCGTTCTACTCCACACTTTCCTCGCCGAGTTGTATTTGACGTGCTCCCGCCATTGCTTTGTGCCCATGAGTGCGAAACTATGGCCCTGACCGAGGACGACCCACCAGAAAGAGCAAAGCTGCAGCTTCTTCCCGTTGCCAGCGCGATCATGGTCCTGCTGGCTGGTGGTGGAGCCGAGCACGGGCGGTGCACAGCGTGCGGTGCGATGTGAAGGGGGGCTCCGCAGTACAACAGCGGATGTGATTCCCAGCAGTGTGTCCCCACCTTGGGCGCTTGGGCGCTCGCATGTGCTTGGCAGTGGTGAGGTGCCGATAGTCTCTTTCTCTCTCTCGTTCGGGCGTGGCCGCTAGAGTTCCGAATACTCCCTCAAGACTTCTCCAGGAAGTGCTCGGACCGAGGCCATCTGTAGAGAGTGGGCAACATAAAAGCACAACAAGCGCGCAAGGATTGCGGGGAGATAAAGTCGGCATGCGGCGTAATTAGTGTCTGCTAGCTGTTGTTCGTTGCCTGAGGGTCAGAGGCTGTGCAGCCAAGGGCCAGGGGGAGTGCGACGAGGATAGGGAGTGCAACGCGCGCGAAGAGGATGCTTGCCGCAGTTTCGTGGTGTTGGACTGCTTCGGCAGGCCCCAGGAGAAGAAAACGTGAGACATGGACAGCTGTGATCAATGATACAAAGTTGTATTGCTGTGAGGTGCAAGTACTCCTGCTTGTACATATATATGCATAGACTACCATACCAAAGTGGAGTGAAAGCAGTCGAGAATAGTACGTAGCTGCTGCTGTTCACCGGTTGATGGCTGGTCGCTCTACCCCTAGCACGCAACCCGTTGGCTGCTCGTGTAGGATATCGCTTGTGGTACAATGAGCACGCAGCATTTACATTCTCGTACACTCATCAGCAAACCTTGCACACACAAACATGCCCAACGCCAGGAACGCAGGAAGGTGGCCAACATGTCAGATGTTTCCCCCCACCCGTTTAGCACAACCAAACTATGATTCAAGAGACAAGACCTAGAGCATGGCGTGCATGGCGTTAAAACCAGAGAGGGAAACACGCGTTAGGCCACTGCCGCGGCGCACCTTGTGACACAGCTCGTACGTCGGTATCAACGTCAACATCACACGTGTTCGTCTTTCCCTACCCTTTAACCTCGCGGTTTTCTCCAGCGGTGGCGGCAGCAGGAGGGCCTGCCGCTGGGAAGAACCCTTCCTCCGCCGCCGCCCTGCTCCTTGCATGTATCGCTTTGTTATCGACCCGGTCGGAGGCGTGGACGGGTGGGTTTTCGCCCGGCTTGGGCCACGCGCCGTGCGTCCGCCTGTTTCACGCTTCGGGGGACGTCGGCTGTCGGACTCGGGGGCGGGAGGGGGTAGCGGGGCCCCTGTTTCTGGTCGACAGCGAGAGAGCGCTGCAAGACATTGAGGTAAATAGTTAATAGTGGTTGTTTTGCTGGTGATGTGGTGTTGAAGTTTGTCATTGGTAGGTGCTGGCTTTTGGTCGTCATGCGAGGGTTAAGCCCGACATCGAACAAGCTTGCGGACGCAGAACGACGACACCGAGATGAGCATATTCGTCCAATAAACAGCTAAGTAGCTCTCTTTTGACTCTCCATCGTAGAATGGCCGCCCTGACGTTACCCGTCCTCCGACAACCCTACCTTTCCATCAAACCCGTTCCCCTTGTTTTCAAGGCGCGGGGTCTCTCGAGTTTCCGCAAGGACGCCCAACGGGAAGAAGAGGGTCTCCTTCCACAAGAGGGGTCGGCAGAGGCGATGGAGGGGATGGGGGACGGGCTGATGGCGGTGCTACCGGATGCGTTTTTCAACCGGACTATCCTGCACCGGCTGTCCGCAACGGGCTTGCTGGGCGGGGTGCTGGTGCTGGAATCGGCCGGTGGTGGTCGTGCGGCGGCGTCCCCAGCGCATTCTTTGGCGCAAGGAAACGTGGTGCGCAGCAATCCAGACGTGAAGACCCCTCAGGTATGGCCGCATGACGTTGTTGATTCCGCGGTTGTGTCGTTATCCGGTTTCTTCGATTTCTTCGTATGGCCACATGACGTTGTAGCGGCGGGTGTATTCTTTGTGTACACTATCCGGTTTCTCCGGTTTCTAGAAACGTGTACCCGTTTTTTTAGTAGTCGGTCTGTGACCACGGAAGGCGTCCGCGTCAGTTGGACCAGTACCGATGTGACAAGGTACCGAGCGGAGACCGGAACGGGTTTTAATGTGAAGACAACAACAACAACAACAACAACAACAACAACAACAACAACAATATCCAGTGCTGCGCCCAGGTGTTGTTTGTGTTTCCTCCCGTACGTTAATGGTACTGACGAAAACCCTTTGCCCCGACACGATCAGTAATGGGGGAAAGACCGGGCTTTTCGGTGTCCGGTGTGTAGAAACGCCCGTGCCCTTCCCAATTTTCCTGCGAGTAGTTGCGCGATGTGAGTCGGGTGGGGTGTTCCAGTTGACCTGCTCGGCTTTCAAGGAGTTGTCGTGCAAGGCTGGGAGGCTTTCATTTTTCGAGCGGACGGAGGAGGTGCGCTATGAAAGCCCTGTACTGTCGGTAGCATGGCGCGAGATACCACACCCCCTGGACCGATTTTCGAAAGCTGGTTTTACTCCAAGACGACGAGGGTGCATACATGAAACCATGTCTTTTTTTTTTTTGTTGCCTCCCAACGCTTTCGCTTCTGGCTCATCCTTGTAAATCTTAGTCTGGGCCCGCGAAATCGCTCCGTCCCTGGATTCCAGGGATGCGCCCTCATTGGTCTGTAACGACTACGGCATGCCTTTTCATGAGCACACCCCCAACCCTTTCGCGTGCGGTGGAATTCGTAGGGTGATTCTACCCCCTCGGCGGCCTTCGACGTGGACGCCTCATACCCGTGGAACTCCGGAGGGGACGGGCTGTTGATGGAGTCGTTCGATTTCCCGATGGTGCTGGTGGCGGGGGGCAGCTCCGACGACGTTCGAGCTCGTGCCGTGTCGAACGGCAACGTGGGTGAGTGGGCCGGTAGGGACCGCAATCACGTTGCAACTTTTCTTTTTTGGCGCGTGACGGGTCACAGTCGCACCGGCATTGGTGTCGGAGCAGGCGGGATTGATGAGATGGCGACCACCCCGCTAGGAAAATCCACAACCCAGGTCAATGATCTTGTTTATCCTCGAGCTTCAGGAGAGCAGTTCACAGCTGTTTCCGGCCGACCGTGCTGCTGCTTCCGGTGCTATTTCCCCCGTTGAGGAATGTTTTCTTCTGTCAGAGCTGGCCGGCGGCCTTTGCCTATTTAAAATGTTTTCCGCTGGTTACAACACGCACGTAGAGACCCCTCTGCGCGCGCACGCTCGCGGCCGACACCACACGCAATTCGTTGTACGACAACTTGCCTCTATCTGTGGTTGACATGGTGCTGTGTGTCCTTTTGTCCCGTTGCCGTTTGTTTTCAGGGGGGCCTAGCTGGCGTTACCCCTTGCACAAGGCGCGGATGGCGTTTTACTTTGGCGGGTCAGCGATGGACCTTAACAGCCAGGTGTACTTTTTTTTTTTTTTTTTTTTTTTTTTTTTCTGCACTGTTGATGTGTGTGTGTGTGTGTGTTTCTACAGCTGCGTGCTTTGTTGTTGGAGCTCCTTGCCTGTGGTTTGTGGCATTTGGGCGGCGTCGCTTCTCGACCACGGTGATCAGTGCGGGAATTGCAGATGCACTACGAAGACGTGACGACAGAAGCTCCCGGATCAACACCAACACTGACAACGACCACCCACGCTTGCAAGATCTAACACTGAGAACAAACAGCAACCGCCGCGCTTTAACAACAACGTAACCCTCAGGAGTGTTTGGGGTGGACGGACATCAACGGCGACAGATCCCCACAGTGCAAGCCGCTGGGAGGGCAGAGCTCGTGGGCGTCGGTCGGGGGTGCGGGGCTGGGGGGTCGGCAGACGGTACTGGCTGTGTCGGGCATGGACTCGACCTCAATGTTCCACGATCGGGCCCCTGGTCAGTACCATGGCTGTGCGTCAATTAGGGTGATATTGTTGTTGCCGTTGTTGTTGTTGTTGTTGTTTAGGGTATATGGTGGTGGTATTGGTGGTGGCGACGCTGGTGGTGGTGTGAGAGCTCTTGCTTGCTCATGGCGTTGAGGGTGTGCTTTCAGCTTCTTCTTTTTTTTTTTTTGTCTTCACTTCAAATCAGTGCTCACAGCACTAGTGCCGTTTGCTCCAATAGCTATATCATGACCTAATTGGTTCGACACCCTCCGCAACAACGTCCAAGACCCGACACTTCTCTCTTTCTCTCTATCCTGCTTTTCGTGTTGCCTATTTTTCCCCGCTTTGCCCTGGGCCCATTCACAGGGGCTAATTCTGCAGTGTCCGGCCTGGTGGCACTACTCTCTGCCGCAGAGAGCCTCGGGACAGCCGGAAGATCCGGAAGTGTAGATTTCTCGGCTCTGCCGAGGCAGATAGTCTTCGTGGCATTCCAGGCACGCTTGTTCCGATATCATTTTTTTGTTGTCTTGTTTTTGTCTTGTAGGAAATCATACAATCACAGAAATAGTACCGGTTCGAGACACGACACATGAGTTTTGGGCATTTTTTTTTTTTGTCACACATTGTTGGTCGAAATCGTGCATGTTCACTGGTGTTACGCTTGTCCTTTCTCCCTTTTCCTCGCTTCGGTGTTGTCTATGGTCGACAGCATCAGTTTATTTGCCTTACCTGCTGTCGACCAAATGATAGTTTCATCAGGACCTTCCTCCCGTTGTCTTCCCCCCCCTTGACTTATTGACGGTATTCGTCCCTTGCAGTCGTCATTCTGTCTTTCTGAACCTTTCTCCCTCGAATTGATGACGATTTTCATCCCTCGCGGTCGCTGTTTTGTCTTTCGGAACCTTTCCCCTCCTTGATGTCGTTGTTTCAGGAGCTTTCTCCCTTGACTTGATTTTTGTCCCTTACAGTCGTTCTTTTTTGTCTCTTTCACTCGGACACCATACTCCAGGGCGAAGCGTACGGCTTCACGGGATCCCGCCGCTTCGTTCAGGACTGGCGCGGGGAAGGCATTTCGTGTCTCAACAGGGTCGATCCGACAGTGTCCCCCACCGGACAAGAGGCGTGCCTGGATCCCCTGTACCCCAGCCTGGAGTTCCAGAAGCTCGGCAAGCCTGCCCATGTCGTTTCGGTCGACCAGGTGGGGGGCTTCAGTGGTGTCTGAAATGTTGTTGTTGTTGCTGTGGTGGTTGGTGTTGTTTCTGCTAGTTTTGAGCAAAGTCTTCATACAGGTACACGCCTATCTTTGAAGCGGAAGAAACGGGTTGGGATACCGATCGTAGTTATTTCTCTGCGATAGACTGTTAAGGTGTTCTTTATACACCGACATCAGCTGGCATACATAGTAATTTTTCGAGTTATTCCCCTGAGACCTCTCTTCCCCTGCATCTTTAAGTTGTCGTCCGGTTTCGATCAACAACACTTCTTTTTATCACGGGGCGTGTGACACAAGCCAGATGATCGCTTGAGTGCTGGAAGCGGAAGAAAATGCAAATCGTGCTGAGCTCGATTCGCTTGCAGTACATCACAACTTGGATAGCGTGCTGAAGTACTCATCTACAACCCACGCCAAAGACTTTTGGGAATAAATTTGTTAGTTCCCTCTCCTAGTTGATCCGTCGGGCACTCGGTCTACGATGCTGGCCTGAGCGCGACAGAAACTGAAGGCGTTTCTTCCAGCGGCTTAAACCTTGCTCCGTAATTCGAGGCCGTCCCGCTCGATTCATCATCATTTCGCTCCTTCCTCTTGCCCCACTTGGTTTGGCGTGGGTCAAGGTTGGGTGCTTGCCCGAATCGACGCTGTGGGTCCACCCCTCTCCCGGAGCGTCGTCGGTAGACACAGGGGTCGTGTCGGAGCTGTCCCCCGGGGGAGGCATTGTTTTGACAAACTCGACCAGGACAGAGCTTCCCCCCTCGCCCCTTACGGCCTTTGTCAAGGTGCGGTACGGTAACGGTAATGTTGACGGTAATAATACGTGCGGTAACGTCGGGCAAGGTGCCGTAAGGTAAGGCGAGGTACCGTATAGTATGGGTATGGTGACGAAATGATGCAGGTGTGCGTCTGTCCGCTGCCCAGCGGCTGGTGCGCTTCCTGGCGGCAGGTGGAAGGACTAACGGGGGAAAATCACGAGGTTTTGGCACGGCGTTGTGGTTCGTGCCTGTGTGGTTGAGGTGCCCAGATGGGTCCGGTCGCACATTATGCCCTGCTTGCTCTGCTTGCTCTGCAAGGTTTCGTTTGGGAGGGGAGGGAGTGAAGTTTCAAGTTCTCACCGGTATACACGGAGAATGAAACTGTTGTCGTCGTCTTTCTTCTGGGACCCTGGTAAACCAGGGGATTGGTGTTTCCTGCAAGAGGCTGTAAGTTGGTAACGTTGTGGTACCATAATTCAAAGCCGTCGAACATGAAATTGATCGTTTCTCATTTAGATATTTTCCTGCTGCTACGGTCGCTTCTCGTTGATGATTCCTTTTGCAGGCGGACCCAGAGCAGTCTGGTTTCGTCCTGTGCGGGTACGACGAGACTTTCTCCTGCCCTCACTACCATGACCACGCGGACGCCAGAGATACGGTAAGCACCGCCCTGGCACGTCTCGCGTCAGCGGAAAGGAGAGAAGCCAACCCTTCCTCAAGTCCATTCGCAAAACGCCCGTTGCCGTTTTTTTTTCTTCTGTTTTTTGTAGGCAGTCGCGTTTTCCTTTCGGAATGGCCAAGCACCCCAATCACGAGTCGTCATCTTCTGTGGTGTTATGTGGTGTATGTGTTCCGGTCACTAACACCACACCAATAAGGATCGACCGTTGCTTCGGGGAATCTTTAAAAGCGCTGGCGGGTAGAACTCACGGCCAGCTGTAGGACTGCTCTTCTTGAAATGCCCCTTCTACTGCCGGGCATGTGTACGCACCAATTGGAGAAGACCTCCTCACAATGGTGGTTCCTGGGTAGACTAAGCTCTCATTCTCCATGCGGCTCGCCAACACCTTTCGGTGCTTTTCGCTCGGTTCTGTGCGAAAGCTGGCGGCCTCAAGCCAACGTGCTGAACCCCTACTGTGTGGATGCAAGGCAGGGTCGATGTTGAGCTTTGGCATCACGTGTCTCCTGTGTTGATAAAGTGATCGATCTCAAACTTTGATATCGCGGATTACTTCTTGTCTCAT